AAATACTGTCTAAAAATAGCCTGCAAGCTCCAAACAAGATACTTTCTCTCCGCAGATTCCTGCGCTTCCCTGTTAGGTGAGGGGGCGGAGCATCAAAAACAAACCCCTCTCCCTAGACCCCCCCCCGACTTTAATCATTGCCCACGTGGGGGCCAGAGACCACCCACTCACAAGACCACCCCCAACGTTCAAGACGAGCGTCTTCCTCCCATCCTCTTATAAAAAGTTGAATGTGCGAATCTAGACAAGATGGATTTGGGTAATTGGTTAGGAGGACCCAGAAATGGTTCTTTCCTGGAGCCAAAAGGGCCATTGACCTATTGTACCCGATAAAACGAGCACCGCCTCCCTTGATAAAGGGCTCGGCCAGGTCTAGAGGAGGAGCGAAGCTTAGCCCCGGAGGCGGCTATTCTTTTCTAGGAAATCTTTTCTAGCCAGGGCTCCACGACCCCTGCAGACCGTGAGAATGCTGGCCGTCACGAAGACAGGGGTCCCCCGCATGCTAGACTAAAGTGTGTGTGCCTGTGCATTTTGCCCTGAAAAAATTAATTAGCTGTCCCTAGGGTCTCAAAAGGGTCCACCACCCCAAGTCTACAATTGCCTGCTGCCCGGGCGGAGGCTCTCCAGGCTGACTGGACACTTGATCTTAAGGTGAGCGTCTCCCAAGGACCCCAAAGATTGATTGTGGAGTCCAACCCCCCCGGGCCCGCCAGTGACAGCGTGTCCTCGCTTTGCCCCAGTTAGGGTTCCCGAGTCTCTGTGGCCCCAGGGTCATCGGCTTTGGGCGGGCCCTGCGACCTCGCCGGCGTCCGCGTGCCGGCTCCCGGGGCGGGGCGAAGGCGGGGCGGGGCGTGGTCCCGGTCCGGCCCCGCCCCGCCCCCGGCGCTGACGTCGCCAAGCTGGAAGCTCGGCGGGTCAGCCAGTCCGCCGGAGCGCGAGCGCCGGGCCCGGTCGGTTGGCTGCGCGCGGTGGAGAGGTTGAGGCGGAGGAGCGCGCGCTTGGGCCCCGCAGTAGCGGTTACTGCCCCACGTCGCCGACGGGGTCCTGCGGGATCTCCTCCAGCTTCGGTGTCCGGGTTGTAGCAAGGCACGGGGACTCCCCGTAACCCCTTGGCCAGCCGCGTTGGGTTTGGGGCATAGCCCACCACCCGCTCCGCAGCATGCGTACCTCCTACACCGTGACCCTGCCCGAAGAGCCCCCCGCCGCCCCCTTTCCCGCTCTCGCCAAGGAGCTGCGACCGCGCTCCCCTCTGTCCCCGTCCCTGCTGCTCTCCACCTTCGTGGGGCTTCTGCTCAACAAAGCCAAGGTACGCGGGCCCTGTTGTAGGACCTCCCACGCTGAAGGTCTGGGGTCCTGCTTGCTCCCGGGATCAACCCCAGTCTACCACAAGTCTCTGAATCCCCGGGATGTTCCTTGCCAGCTTTTTCCTCTCTTTTCCAAGGGTCTCCTGGCAAGGGATGCCCCCTTCCCTAGAGATAGCAGGCTTCCTGCAGACCCCTCCCCTGTTGATATCCAAGCCCCTAAGGTCCCTCACCCCCTTCCCTGGGTGATACGGGCACCTGGTGGCTCTTGGCCTCTTAATCCCAGTCACCTATATCAAGACAGGTGCAGGCTAGAGTAACCTTGACTAGGGCTGGTGTGTGACTAGAGGGAACAGGCAACACGCTGGACTCGGGGGTGACTCTTCCAAGACCAAACTCCCAACAAGGAAGGTGGATCAAAGGGTACCTCCCTTTCTCTGTTCCCAATTGGGCTGTCTCCCAGGGGTCAGTTGCCAGGGTGCTTTGACCCTGTGAAGGGCAGAGGTTGTAGACAGGTGAGAGAATGAGTCCTTCTCTTCCTGGCCCTCTTCAGTTATGTAGAGTGGGCAGTTGATTTCCCTGATTGAAGCAGCTCCCTGAGTAATTCTGGAGCTAAGGCTGGGCACTGTCCCTTTGGGAAAGAGAAGGGGCCTGAGCTTGACAGGTCTTATGTAACAGGCACCAGCTCCCGTGTTGGCAGTGCGTGCCCTGCCCCGTGCCAGGGCTACACCGGGCTCCTTGCTTGCCGCCAGGACACATGGCTGACCCTCACCATGCAGATAAAGCAAGAGCGCCCCTCAGCTGGGGTCTCCAGTGTGAAGTCACAATCTCAGTCCACCTTTCTCACAGGCTGATGCCCAGATGCCATCCTGCATTATCCAGTGACAGGCTGTTTGAGCCCCCGCTCCTGCCCTGGCAGAGGAGTGCTGTTTACTATGGAGGTGGCATCTGCTCTCTAGAACAGTGCTTGCTACTGAGTCAAAGCTAGGTTTGCTGATGGCTGGGTGTAAGGCAGCGAGCGCCAGGGCCAAACTTTCTCACCTCTGCACACGAGTCCCCAGCCCAACAGCTGGGATCCTTGCCTTGCTGTGCAGGGTTTCTGTCCCACCTTTTCAGCCCTAGCCTCCCTTTCCCTGCCAGCCCAGAGGTAGGATTGTTTGCCCTGTGAGAAAGGTCACTCCTGGGACATTTTGTTCTTCTCTGGAATGGGAAGTGCTGACTTTCCCCAGAGCTCCTGATTTCCTATTCATGGCTGAAGAATATCTGGCCTGGCCTAGAGCAACCTGGCTCCCCCCACTCCCCCATCCACTCCCACCCCCAAGCCCTGCAACCCCCCACCTCCTACATAGAGCAGTAAGTTGGTCAGGGATGGTGGTGAAAGCCTAAGATCTCATCCCTTGGGAGGCAGAGGCATCCAGACTACATAGTGACTTTCAGGCTAGCCAAGGGGTGTGTGGTGAGACCCCATGTCTAAGAAAGGAAAGAAGAAATTACCAAGTGTTTTGGAGCTGAGGAAATTTTAGATAAGATCATGACTTCTCTCTCTCTCTCACACACACACACACACACACACACAGAGGGTCCTAATGATTTGGGGGAAACCTCTCCTATCTTTCTACCCCCAAGCCAATAGAAGCATTGGAACTAGAATACTAACCATGAAGGATGAATGCACTTCCCACCTTCCATCCCTGGAAGCGGAGTGCCTCTGTGGACTGGTGACTCCCTCCCTCTCCCCACCCTCCTTCACTAGTGCTGGGATGATAAGTACCTGAGCTGAAAGCCCGCCTTGGTGGATGTGGACATGCTCACCGGTGGTAGAATGCTTTCTGTCTCTACAGCCTGTTTAGACCGATGTCGTCTCGGGCACAGGGGGTAAGGATTAGTGAAGAGATACCGAAACGAGGTGTGAGTGGGCAGCACGTGTGGGCACACCTCAGTGGGTGCCTTCAAGCGGGCCACAGGAAGATTGCTGTGGTGCTTTCTTGCTGGGCTTGGGGGGAGGGAGGGGAGGGAGACTTTTACCCCTTCATCCAAAGCTCTGGTAAGATCTTTGTCCCCAGGGACTGTCTCTGTGGTAGCCCATGTAGAGGGCCTACCACTGGTATCAGCAAGGTAGAATTCACATTTTTGCCATTGCCAGGGGTCAAATCAAGACCTTACAAATGCTAGTCAAGCCTTCTATTGCTGAACTACGACACCCAGTGGTGGGACTCACGGTTTCTTTGGGGGGCCACATAAGGTTAGCACTGCAGGCCCGGGCAATGGAGGGTGCTACACCCTATATACTGCCAGCGGGCTTTCCCTCCTGCTGAAGGTTTAAAGCTTGTCTCTTCTGAGTATGCTTTTTCTACCTGCTAGAGTCCGACCTGACAACTGACCAAGGGAGGGATCCTCTTACTCGTGGGAGGGGCCTGGCACTTCTTGAGAAAAGCCCTCCCTCGGCCTGCTTCTCCCCACCTCCCTTCGAGCTGACAGTCTCCTGGGCTTTGAGCCGCTGACAACCTCATAGGCTGTCAGCACACGGCATGAGTAATTTTAGCTGAGTTATTTCAGGCTCCTGTTCTGATCGGGGTTGAGCCGGCCCCACGCAGCCAGTGTTGCTCCAGAGTTGCCTGCTCTGAGGCCCCCTTTCCCAAGAGGGGGGTGGCAGACTCATCCACAAACTCAACCACTGTTTAACCCTTTGAGCCTGAAGGTTTTCTCATTTCCAGGAGGTGTGCCCAGGATTAGCTAAGAGACCTTGACAAATAACACTGACAGCCTGCAATCTCACACCTGTTCTCTCTCCAACCCCCTCACCAGCCTCCACAGTGGAGACAAGAGTGGCACCTTCAGCCAGGTGCTTCCTGAGCTGGGTGCCCGTGGCCAGTCGGGATGTTGAAACCTGAGACGGGCAGGGAGGATCCTCCCGCCTGAGCTCAGCCCTTAGAAGCTGAGTTCAGCTGGAAGGAATTCCACCTGTCTCTGGCACTTCAGAATGGCAGGCGGCTTGACTTTTCCCTAGCTGAAGATCGAAACTCACTTAGAGTCGTTTGTCATCTAAACTTCTTAAAGTGCCAATTATGATGGTTCCTCTATATATTATTGAACACTTAGTGTAAATATAGGTCATTTGAAATAGTACCTGGATTTGAGCTTTGTAACCTCTTGTTGTTGTTTCATATAGCTCAGGCTAGCCTTTGGGTTCACTGTGTATGTAGCTGAGGCTGACCTTGAACTCCTAATTCTCCTGCCTCTGCTTCCCAGGAGCTGGGATTGCAGGCTTTGGTCACCATACCTGACCAGGACTTTTCAATTTCTTTCAACAAGGAATTGAGTATATTCCTGAAATTATGAATCCCTAGCCTCTAGTTCTAATCTTCAGTCTCCACTGTAGCAGAAAATAAAGATAGAGAAGCTGGTGTCGTAGCTCATACCTGTCATCCCTACACTCGGGAGGCAGAGGCAGGAGGATTGCCACACGTTCGCTAGGCTACCTAGTGAGATCCTGTCTCAAAACAACAAAAAGATGGGGAAATACATAAAAAAGCAAAACCCCCGAAGAAAAGTTTGTGTGTTGAAAATAGGTATTCGTCTATGCGCTTTTCTCCAAGGCCCAGACCGAGGCTGAGAAGAGTCTGGTGGTGAAGTGTTGGGTGAGGGCTTACAGGCCCAGGGCAGCACCTCACCCTCATGTGATATGTTCTTTGCTTACAGAATTCAAAGAGTGCCCAGGGTCTGGCTGGTCTTCGAAACCTTGGGAACACGGTAAGTTCACCTCTTTCCTGAAGCCCTCCCCTCCTCCCCTGACCGGGATAACCTTACAGAGTCCTCTCCTGCCTCCAGCTAGCTTCCTATTCTATACTAAAGGGCAGCCCACACCTGCCCTTCCTGGCTGGTGTTTCAGTGAATTACAGGGCTCTGTCTCACCTGCCCCCAGCAGGAAGCACTGCTAAAAGGAAGTTGTCCTTGTCACTGGGAGCTTGCTGCTGTCCTGGACCTTCCTCCTAGTTCCCATCAGTTCCCACCCACTGCGAACCGGTGTGCCCACGCCCCTTCCTACACCTCAGTAGGAAGTAGCCAATTACATGGCCTCCCCCATGCTGGGGCCGTGCCTCACTCAGCCCCGCCTTCACTCGGGAAGGAGGAACTTGGGTAGAAGAGACAGAGAACCTTTAGTTGCAGGTACTGGAGGTGCTGGGTAAGGGTCTCTACCCCATCACAGTGTTGTTAGTCAGCTTTCTCCTACGATAGATGCATGAGAGAAATCAACTTGAAAAAGGTTTGATATGGTTTGCTTACGAGCTCTGTTGCTTCGGGCTTGTGACAAGGCAGACAGCACTTGTATAGCAAAGCAAAACCATTCACTTTGTGGCCAGAATACAAGAGAGAGAGAGAGAGAGAGAGAGAGAGAGAGAGAGGAAGAGAGTGAGGTCCTTCAGGCCTCTTCAGGGCAAGCCCCCAATACCTGAAGGCCTCCCACTGGGCCCTCTCTCTTCAAGTTGCTACCACATCCCAGTACTGCCATTGGCTGGGAATACATGGCTTATGAAAAACCCAGAACTGTTCACGTCCACTAACTGCCAGGTGATCTTTCCTAGTGCTTCATGAACTCAATTCTCCAGTGCCTGAGCAACACCCGAGAGTTGAGAGATTACTGCCTCCAGAGGCTGTACATGCGGGACCTTGGCCACACCAGCAGTGCACACACGGCCCTCATGGAAGGTGAGGACCATGTGGGCGTGGCCCCACTCCCTTTCTCAGCTCTTATGGTCCACCGAGCTGGACTGATGTGTTATGGATACACCCCTGCCTCTCTAGTTTTCTTTCTTTGCCTGTTCTTGGTTGGGGCTCAAGTTTCCGAATCTGTTGTTGAAACACAGCCTTCCTGTGTAACCCTGGTTGGAGCCATTTGTGTGATTCTCCCGCTTTGGCCTCCTGGGTGTTGGGATCAACACCATCATGTCTGCCTCCAGTTTCAGTGCTCCATCTTATTTGTTCACTGGTTGGTTGCTTGGGTGGGATGCTTGGCTTGGTTGGTTGTCTCGGTTTTGGTTTTTGGTTTTGGTTTGTTGTTTTTGAAACAGAGTCTCAGGTAGCCTAAGCTGGCCTTGAATTCCTGATCTTCCTACCTTAACTTGGGATCACAGGCGTGCACTACAAAATTGTTTACTGTGCTTACAGAGGACCAGAATTTGGTTTCCAGACCTAGCTCCCTCCTATGGCCTCCTTGGGCACTCAAGCATGCACATATACCTATACACACACACATACACGCACATACACACACGCAGACACACATACACACATACACACACACGCACATATATACAATTTAAAATAAAAGAACTTTTTAAAAAGAAAATATGTCAGCCAGGTAGTTGTGATACATACCTTTAATCCCAAGACTTGGGAGGCAGAGGCAGGTGGATCTCTGAATGCCAGGCCAGCCTGGTATACAGAGTTAGTTACAGGACAGCCAGGGCTACACAGATGAACCCTATCTTGAAATGAATAAATCATCTCACCTGTCTTCTACCCTCTTTAATGGCTCCTCACAGAGTTTGCAAAACTAATCCAGACCATATGGACATCATCCCCCAATGATGTGGTGAGCCCATCTGAGTTCAAGACCCAGATCCAGAGATATGCACCACGTTTCGTTGGCTACAAGTAAGGCCCTGGCATGCATGTCCTCCCGAGGTGGCTGGTAGCACACGCAGGGTCAGGTGGATGCTGCTCACCCGCTCACTCTGTCTGGGTTCAGTCAGCAGGATGCTCAGGAATTCCTTCGTTTCCTTCTGGACGGTCTCCACAATGAAGTGAACCGGGTGGCAGCAAGGCCTAAAGCCAGCCCTGAGAACCTTGATCATCTCCCGTAAGTAAGAGGAGGCCCTGCCTCAAGCGAAATCTTTGTGAACTTGACATTTGTACCTACTTCTATAAGAGTAATGATTTGGGGAGAATCAGATCTGCTTTGTGGTTTTTAAGCTGAGACTCTTTATTTCGGTATTGTGCATGTGTCCATGTACCTAGGCCCTTGTATGCAGTGGGTAAGCATTCTCCCACTAAGTTACAAACTCTAAGATGGCTTTTGAAGATTAAAAGGTTGAAGCGAGGCTTGGTAGTATATACCTGTAATCCTAGAATTCAAAAAGCTGAGGTAGGAAGGATTATGAATTTGAGACCAGCCTGGGTTAATCCTGGCTCAAGGGTACAGCTCCGGGAGGGCTGTGTGAACAGGAGTGAGGCCAGGGATTCCAGGCCCAGCACCACAAACAGTAACACATGTAAATATATGATCTATATGGATGGTAACCTAGCTCTCCTCCTTTCTGTGGTTCCCAGTGATGAAGAAAAGGGGCGACAGATGTGGAGGAAGTATCTAGAAAGGGAAGACAGTCGGATTGGGGGTAAGTATATGGACAAGAAAATATTTGCTTCTGTTGTTACCCACTTTTACTCAAGAAGTCATGGGGATCCTTTTTCCCAGGGGGCCCTGCTTCTGCCTGTGGCTCACAAAATGTAGGCAAGAGTGGGTGGGGAAAGGAAGACAAGCATTCGGCATGTTGAGCGTAGCCTGGCTTTCTCTCCCCAGATCTCTTCGTTGGGCAGCTAAAGAGTTCCCTGACATGCACCGACTGTGGCTACTGCTCAACCGTCTTCGATCCCTTCTGGGACCTCTCGTTGCCCATTGCGAAGGTATGCTTAGCTGTGGGCCCAGCGTCAGCGTCGCTCTCAGGGCTGGGCGAGGCGGTGACCATTGACCTGGACATTCTCTTTGCAGAGAGGTTATCCTGAGGTGATGTTAATGGACTGTATGCGGCTCTTCACCAAAGAGGATATATTGGATGGGGATGAGAAGCCTGTAAGTCACTCCTCGGTGACAGCACAGCCTGGCTGGGGAAGGGCCACCAAGTCTCACTGCCTCAGGCCTTAAGCTCTTTCTAGCACCTTTTGTCTTGTCTTTTAGACATGCTGCCGCTGCCGAGCCAGAAAACGATGTATAAAGAAGTTCTCCGTCCAGAGGTTCCCAAAGATCTTGGTGCTCCGTATCCTTAACCCCCAGGGTGGGGAACTGAGTTTTTGGGGTGACTGATGACAAGGGACCAAAAGGGGGGGGCAGCCTAAAGAAAAACCTCTGTAGGCTTGTTTGTTTGTGGCCCTGCTTCCTGAGACGAGCTACTTTTCCAAGGACTCTCTTCCTGCTTCCTCTCCTTGACTCGGAGCAATCACAGACCTGAAGCGGTTCTCAGAATCCAGGATACGAACCAGCAAGCTCACAACATTTGTGAATTTCCCACTAAGAGACCTGGACTTGAGAGAATTCGCTTCAGAAAACACCAGTGAGTATACTCGAGCAGGAGGGAAGAAGGAAGACGGGAGGCAAGGGGCCAGGAAGCTAGAGAGTTAGGAAAAGGTCACAAGATCAGGACATGCATGGGTAAAGTGCTGATGACCACACAGAAGGATCGAATTGACTCTGTCAAGATGCCCCTCTCACCTGCACGCACGCACGCACGCGCACACACACATGCATGTGTGCACTGAGGAAATCAATTTTTCTTTTTTTTTTTTTCTTAAAAAGTAGAAGCTATGATTTTAAGCGGGGGAAGATTGGGAAATAAAAGGGAGGAAGGGAGGGGACGTTGGAGTAGGAATGTTAACACCTGTGCTGCCCCCTCAGATCATGCTGTTTACAACCTGTACGCTGTGTCCAATCACTCCGGAACCACTATGGGAGGCCACTATACAGCCTACTGCCGAAGTCCGGTCACGGGCGAATGGCACACTTTCAATGACTCCAGGTGAGAGATGGGATCCCGGCAGGGCTCCCGGACCACAGAGCGCCTCATGTGGGCTTCCATTTTGAATGGACAGAAAGCCGGGGCCAAGAGCCCCATCATACACATGTGTGTGCTGCTCTTTCTGGGACTGTCAGAAATAGGTATGGTGGCACACACTGTAATCAAATGCCTGAGAGGTGAAGGCCAGAGGGTCAGGATTACAAGGTCATCCTCAGCCACTTAGCAAGTTCGAAGTCAGCCTTGGTTACGGGAGACCCTGTCTCAAAAAATGGGTTGGCACTGAAGAAATTGCTCCGCGGTTAAGGGCTCCCGCTGCTGTTGCAGAGACCAGGGGTTCATTGTCGTGGGCCACCATTGACACCCACAGCACGTATGCATATTTAAAAATAGTAAGAATCTTAACACAGAGCTCTCAAAGGACAGAGGCAGAGGTTAACTTGGCATAGAGAAGTTAGAGTCATTTCCTCAAGCTCGGCCACGCTGCTGTGTCCCCCGTGGCCTTCCTTGACAGGCTCTGACTGCTCCTGATCTTTTCCACAGTGTCACACCCATGTCCTCCAGCCAAGTGCGCACCAGCGACGCCTATTTGCTCTTCTATGAACTGGCCAGTCCGCCCTCCCGTATGTAGCATTGAGGAGCTACAACCCTTCCCTCTTCCCTGTGGTGGCCCCACGTCCTAAGTTTTTTTTTTAAAAATTCAGAAAAAAAAACACCACAAAAAAAAAAAACCAACAAAATCCTGACAAGTGAGAGAAAAATAAAGTAAAATAAAGCTGCCGAGCAGAAGTTGATACAGCCTGGTCAGGGTCTGGAGTGCGGAGCCAGGTGCCCCTGAGCCACGGCCTGTCGGGAAAGACGGACTGATGCAGAGACAGAGTCAGCGGTGTCCCTCAGCGCCTCGGCTTCTCGTTTGCGTTTTTTAAGCTTGTGGTATTTTTTCCTGTGTGTAATAAAAACAACAGCGGTCTGTGGGGAGAGGATCAGTCCACCTGCTGCCCCAGGGCCACACCTTCTGGGAGGACAGCGCCATCTGGAGCCTGCTGGGAGCATCGCTGCTGGATGGAGCTCGGGCGGAGCCGGCTCGGATGCTGCCCTGCCTGGGCCTGCTCGCCAGTCCGGAGAGGAAACACCCGTGAGCCAAGAGCCCTCCTAACGCTGCTAAGTCCAGGGGTACAGATGAGGGTGACATCTTTGAAAAAAGCTGGTTTGGGTTTTCAAAAACCCAATTTTTTTTTTCTGTTTTTTAAAATTTAACTGTAACGAACACGTTCCGACTGGAGATGCGGTCCTTCACACCTCTCTTCACAGCTGGGACGTTGGGCTGGCTCCCTGTTTTTGTTTTTTGTTGTTAGGATTTCTGTTTTGTTTTTGTTTCGTTTTTTTTTTCTTTCGTCAAATACAACTTTCCTAATGCTAGCCCCCTGTGGTGCTAGGTGAGTATTGGCCAGGCCCAAGCATAGCCACAGTAGACCTGGGATCTAAAGTTTTCTGTTTTGAAGTTGTTTTTTTTTCCTTTAATATTTTGGATGGAATCTAGTTGCCTCCAAGAATTGTGCCTTATAGCATTTGGGGACCAGGGGATCACCTCCCCTTCCTGAGATATCCCTCAGCTGCTTCCCTTTATCCCGTGCCATGTTGAAAGCCACTTGGGGACATGGGGTCCTGCCCTTAGCCCCTGGCTTGTGCACTGCAGTGGTTAAGAGGAAGTGGGTAAATGGTGTTTCTTAAGATAGTGTATGAAGCTCTTCCCACCACCCTCTCACCCACCCCTGGTCTACTCCCCAGCTATTTGAAGGACAGCACAGGCCCCTTGTTCCTCAAGCCCCCCCTTTAATTTATTCTCTTCTTGATGCCCTTGTCCTCCAAGTTTCCTGCCACCAGTCCCTTTCTCAGAGTCTCTTAGACAAAGGCCCTCTGGACTGAGCTTCTCAGGGACACCCACACTACCCCTTACCCCTTCTTGGTACAAGTCTTTGGTCCTGCCCTGGGAGCGTGAGCCTGGATGTCTGGGGATGTCTTGTATGATTCTTTGCCGTGGGCTTGATTTCGCCCTGACATTGTCAAAAAACTCCATGCTGTCCCAAGAACCAAGCTATCCAGCACTAAGGCATTTTGCACACCCTGCAGGTGCACCTGGCTTATGTCCTCAGAACCTGGAGTGCTTGAGTGTCCCAGGACAAGGCACCCGAGAAAAGACACCCTGAGTTTACCTGGCCTGATACCCTTTTCTAGGGAAGACCTGTGAACGTGAGCCCAAGGGCTGGTGTACACTTGTTTACTATGTAAGCAAGAGTCGAATGTCCAGTGTACAGTGGAGCCTTGTACAGAATAAATACTAGCTTTGAGAAAGAAGCTGGTGTGATGCTCTTGATTTGGGAGGGTCTTGAATCCAGGAAGTGCACCCAGCATAGCCGAAAGTGCCGAATCCTAGAAGCTTACCCACTGGTTAAAGTTCTATTTGTTCCTTAAATATGTCAGATGCCATTCTTCCACATGTGGATTCGCAGGTTGAGTTTGTCCATGTGTTGTTTTATTTTAGCCAAAATGTTTAGACACGAGGCACATGGCACTTCCAAAGACCTCAGCAACTGCTTTCACAGTAACCTGCCAGGGGCACAGTCTGAACACCTGGGGAAATGGACACATCTGGTGGTAGCCCAGACCATCGGGGTTTTTCTGCCTAGCTGGCTATAGTGCTGTAGGCATTGATACAGCAACGTCTTATCTGGCCATCTTTGTTATGGCACAGATAACCTGTTGTCACTTGGGGCCTGTCTGTGCTCCTGGGTGGCCCACCTCATGAAAGAAGACAGCTTTCTGACCTGGGAATTTCATGGGAGTGGGAAAGAAAGATAACCTATTATTCTAGACAGGATCTCATGTAGTCCAGGTGGCCCTCGAGCTGGCTAAGGCCTAGGATGAGCTAAGCCCGAGTCTCCAGCTTCTTGTGCAGGGGCTGGGATTCCAGTTTAGGCCCAAGTGCCTCCATCTCATTTTAGTTGGTACTTGGGACTGAACCCAGGGCCCCTGGTATGCTAGGCTGGAGCTCCACCCAGCAAACCACACTTGTAGCATGAGAAGAAAGATTTAAACAAACTTTGTGACTTCTCTCTGAGGGACTCTTTCCCCAACCACCCTAGGAATCGAAGGTCTGAGGATGAGATATCTCAAAACTGTGTGGCTTCTCCCAGCCAGCCACGTATAAACAATATTCACTCCTAAATAGAAACTGGCTCACTGCCAAGTTGAAGGTGTCTCATCTTTTCAGTGGCGGTGGAGGCCACCCTGTGTACTCTGTTCTCCGGAGAACAGACAGTAACGAATTAGAAACTCAAGTCAAAGCCCTTGCCCTTGCTAGCAGCTTTCCTTTCTCTACTTAGCCTGTGGCTCCATCTCATCCCCATGGCAACAGTCCCTAGTCCTGCACCAAACCCCAAACACAAGCAGGTCTGTTGCAGGCGTTTCTTTGTGATCTGCTTTGCCTCCTAGCAACTTGGATTATTGCGCCTGTTCTTAGCTGGTGTTCCTGGAGGCCCTCACTGAGAGGAGGCACTGCCTTTCCAGTTGACCTTGAAGGAGAGCCTCCCTCCCCTTCTGTAGGCCTCCAAGGCCTCCTCAAACCAAAGGGCCCTCTATTCTCATGCTCTCCAAACACACATTTGAATTAGGACTTACACACCCATGGTCCCCTGGCCCCTTTTATAGTTTTGTTGGTTTTTTTTTATATATATATACATTTATTCTAGGAGGACAGCATCTGCACACTGTGGCATGTATGGAACTTTCGAGAGTCAATTCTCTTCTCCCACAATTTTCAAGGATGAAATTCAAGTCATGGGTTTTGTGGCAAGTTCCCTTACCAAAGCAGTAACAGAGAAATGCAGGAGCTGGAGAGACGGCTCAGCAGTTAAGAGCACTGGCTGCTCTTCCAGAGGTCCTGAGTTCAATTCCCAGCACCCACATGGTGGTTCACAACCATCTTTAAAGTGATCTGATGCCCTCTACTGGCATGCAGGTATACATACAGAGCACTCACATATATTAAATAGAATAAATAATGCAGGAACAGACCTTGTGTTGGGGATTTGGTACAGTACTAGGCATCTCTCCAGTCTCAGAATTAACTTTTAATTGATCAATGCTCTGCCCAATTCATATTTTTTGAATGTTTAGACTTGGGCCTTTAGAGACGGCCTGGTCCCTACTGTTGTTTTGACAGTGAGGGTTCAAGCCCTGTCAAAGGCCGTGACCAGGATGGATCTCACCATTAGGAAGCAAACCGAATAGCCATGTAACGTGCACACATGGCCAGCAACAAAGCCAGCATGAGTTAGCTGAGTCCTGCTAGGTCTGTTTGAGCTAGACACTTCCAAGGGTCCCCACCCCTCAACACTGATGGATACAACTCTCTGTGTCGGTTGCAAAGGGCAGGAGGAAGTGGCCAGCAACCATTGCGCCAAACCTCTCTGTGCCCAGTGTCCTCATCTCGAAATTGATGACAGTACCAACTCTAAATGAGAAAAAGCGGGGCACGCAGTGACCAAATGCCTGACAAGAAAGAACTTATGGCCTGAGAGGCGCGCAATGGCCACGCAAAAGCATGCACCGCACACACGTGCACTTGAGTTCAGTCCCCACGGTGGAGAGATCTGGTCTCTGGAAGTTGACTTGTGACTTCCACATTTGCACCTGCATGTCCACTCATATACACAGACACATAACGTCTTTTATTGGATATTATTACTACCCAATTATGCATTATTAGAGAATAATGCAATCTTTTATTAGAACTGGGTTGGCAAGCTGGCTCAGCAACTCAAGGCCCTTGTCACCGAGCCTAGCAACCTAAATTCAATCCCTGGAACCCACATGATGGAAGGAGAAACTCTCTCCTGGTCTCCGTGGGCATGGTACAGTCATAGATAAACATAAATAAAAGATCATATCTCAAAAAAAAAGTTACCAGAAAGAGGAAGTGATGGCCGCTGGGATAGATGACATGGCTTGCCCTCGGGAACTTAAAGAGGATTTTCTAGTGGTCTTCATGCCTCTGGTATCAATGCTGTCCTCCACCTAGGCTCCAGACAGGTACATGGATGGTTTTTGGATGCCCCAGACTATGGCCAGGCTATCTGACCCGTCTACACCAGTAGAATAAGAAACAAGTCACTGAGTCCCTGCAGAGAGCCAAGTTCAAGTCCCCTGGCTGCCAGGAGACTCCTACCTTAGGGAAGTGGGACTTCACTGAACCCAACGCAGGTGAATTTGAAGACACGGTAACTCGAGACATGGCTCATTCCTGAGGACTCAGGGTCCTCTAGACAAGTGATGGCCCCTGTACCCAGAGGGCTTCCACTGTGCTGTCCTATACTCCACCAAGTCATGGTCGTAGTAAATTCAATCTGAGTTGGGGGTGGAGAGGCTAAGGAGCCTGCGAGCCCCACTTTGAAACCATTCCTGCTAAGTCCTGTGCTACTAAGATGCGAGTGACTAGCTCCATCAGCCTGATTCATCAGAGTCAGGCTCCAGACCTGCAGTCTCCAGCAAACAATCACACGCCAGGGGTTCAGCACCCCAAATCACCAATCACCACAGACTAGTGCAGGGCAGAACCACAGACCAGTGCAGGGCAGGGCAGTCCACAGGTTCTAGTCCACAGGTTCTAGTTCTCTCTCTCTCTCTCTCTCTCTCTCTCTCTCCTCT